ATTTTATCGCGACAAATTAACTTATTTTATATTCTATATGTTCTATTAGACTCTTATTGAATGGACTCCATTTTAGGAACTTCGTTCAATTTTAAACAAAATACCGTAAAATCTAGTGGTATCCTAGAAATGGCAAAATATTAATCATATATAGATAAAAGGGTACTTAGGGATTATCCCGTCGACCTCCCAACGCTCGAATATAATTTCTTTTTGACAGTAGGTTAAGGCGCGGCTGTAGTGGCCCTTAGGCCACCCTAAAGCCGCGTACACTATAATGATATTAAAAAATAATATTGAAAGAATTGATCTTTTTAATTTAACCAAAATCAAAGTTTAAACGGGAGGTCGACGGTATAATGCCAAAGTACTGTTATAAGATATAATTTGTGAAATAAAGGCGTGTCTAGTTTAATACTGATTGATTATTTCAAAGGTTTAATATCATACTGTGCCGTTTTATTTATAACAGTACCCATATACGTAAGATATAGCACTAAAAAGTTGAATATACTAGCATTATAAGTGTTATTTAAACGAAAATACTAAACTTTAGCATTAATGAGCATCGTTCAATATAAACCCTTGTAGGTACTAAGTTTCATACAATATTCAAATGAACACGTGTTTTAAATTTGAACCGCCGCCGATTAATATTGGTAGGTACCTACTTATTTTTACTACACATTGAGCATCATTGCAGAGGCTTTCCATTATTAATACATCATAGCAAAATCTACAATATTGTTTTATTTCTTATGATGTTTCTAGGGCAGTTATTCATTCCGATGCTGGAACTCACAAATTCAACTTAGAGTAAATACGACTAACTTCTAATTTAATAGCTAAGTATAGTAACACAGTAGTAGGTACAATAAGTACATTAAAACGTTTAATATTTTTAATAAATATTTAGTAAATATTTTTAATTTATATCTAACAAGTCATATTAAAACTCCATTACTATGTCTATCTATTATCCTTGATCCGGATTTTGATAAGCTATTATCTTAAAATGACTTCATAATTTATCCACTGATATAAAAAAAATTTGTATATATAAATGCAAGTCTTTGATTGATAACAATTAAACAAGAACTTTAACAAAACTATTTTTACTATGAATAAAAGAAAAAATTGGGCCACTATGCAATAAGTAACCTACAAATACTCACTTGGCAAAACAAAACGCCGGTTAACTTGAAAATCCACTTATGACGTGATTTCAACTCGAAATTATGAGAAAAACTGAACTAAACCACTTTAATTATCACGAAACGCCAACACAAAACATCGTCAATATACCACACACACTGCACAAAACATCAGAAAAAGTTTTAATTTTTTTCTGTAATCGTAATGGCGGTAAATATACGATACCTACGACTGCAAGCAACCGACTCTGACAACGACCGGTCGCAGACTGAGTTGAGTTGAGCTGAACTGATTGAATGAAGACGGACTGAATACGTTTCGTGCGAATCGGAAAGCCAAGACGTTTGGAACGGAACATCTAACTCGACGAGTCGACGAGTGACGAACAGTCACAATAATCTTTAGTAGCCAGACTTTATAATAAACAAAGATTACATTCTTCTCATAAACGTTAACTCTATATTTTTTTACAAATGCAACAAAAGAAATCATAACTCGTGAACAGTTTTTATAGTTTATAGTGGCAATAAGACTGAATATCTCACATCCTTACTTCAGATGGAGACCAATAAAAATACACTTGATGGTATTGATAGCTTCCGATGTTTATTGCTGTCTCCATAACATTCCGCTTGAGATTATAGGTACCATTTGATTTCGTCTCGAATGCGAGATTCCTTATCTAAGTTTTAGTAGTTTGTATCACATAATAAGATGTGTTTCGTTGCTAGTATAGGTTTTGGTTACAATGGCTAGTTTTCTGATCTTCTTATAATTCAATTCACTAATTTATTTGACGTTTAGTACCGTAGAGAATTTAATCACGAGGTTCTGAAGATTCTACGTGCGGGGAGATCTTTTACCATTAAAAGATCTCCGCACGTAGATATTGGTATGGCGGTTTTAGAATTCCGTGATTCAATGCCAAGAAATATGAAGCATATTATTCTGTATTATAAAACATTGGTCTATTATTCATTTTAATGACCCTGAGCATCGTACGTATACATAATACATATTATACACAATAACAATTATATTAAATATTAACACAATTAACAATATAATATGTAAATTAACAATTAATACGTAGTAGCAGGGTTGGTTTGATTAAAACCAGTTATTTTAAAACACGTGTTTAAAACAGTTTGAAATAAAACTTTGTTTTGTATTTATTGTCTAAAAACAAATTAAAATAAGATTTTAAGCAGTGTTAAAAATATTAAGAAAAAAACATTGTTTAAACTACATTTAAAATGTTTACGTGCAAATGAAGGGAAGTAAATAAAATAAAATAAATAATTAAGACCCAAAATTGATTTAAATCAATTTACAAGTTGAGTTTATGTTGTATTTTTCATTTAAATTAGGAATTATGAAGGAAAAGTTTATATGGAAATTGTAATTAAAACATTATTTTATTAGAAGAAATTTATTTATTCATAGACAAACAACACAATAACCATTAATATTATGAATTATAACTAAGTACTAAGTAGCTACCATTAATTAACTATTTATGCCACACAAGATAATAATAATTGTTGAAATTAAAAAGATAAATGATAACAATTTTAATAAAAAACAACTAGTTATTATAAATTATCAAAATTCTATATTGTGTGAGACAGACAATTTGATGAGACAACACTTACTTTATCTTATTAAGATATTTAAAAACTGTGACAAGTTTTGCAGCTTTCTCCGTACCTAGTTTATTTCGTACATCGGAATGAATAAATCCAAATGTTGAAAACAGTCTTTCAATTCCAGCACTTGAAGCAACAGCAGTCTGAAGCTGTGTCACTAAGTCCATTGTGTGGCAATTAATTTGTTTTTGTAATGGCAGCCACCATTCAAGAGGTCCGACGTGATTTACTACATGATCTTCAAACAAAAAGTTATGCAATAGATCTGTCATTGCCCTGTATTTTACAACATAGGGCATCACCTCTTTGTGATAAGCTTCAATAAAATATAAAGCTTCAGAAATGTCGTCACTCGTGAGGTGTTCGTGACTGTATTTAGGACGTAGCAAGCATGCTAAAATATGAGCTGGACACATTGTCCTTTAAAACCGGGCATTGAACTTACTTAAATCACTCAGTGAATACTCGTTCTCACGATGTCGTACGGTCTAACCATCAAACTTATTTTTAAACTCTATCAATGCTTCAGACATTTCGCTAATACAGCAGGATGTCTTCTGGGAGATGTCAAGTGCAACTGCAATATTTTCCAGTTGCAATTGTTTTTCCAGTGCTTCAGCGCCATGTTCTTTACTTTTGATGAAATTGACAAATATATAGTAGTTGTACTATTTAAGCATATGTCTGACATAATTTACCAGATTTCCAAAAAAATTTTAGGCAGTCAGCCATTGTGTTCCACCGTAACAGCCGTACGTAAGAATATCCTTATGATACGCTAATTCTTCCTGTTGAATCAAATCTCGCCTCATACGACTCATATTTGCTGCGTTATCTGATACTTCGCTTCACACCATGCATTTGAAAGTTTCACATTGTTTTATTGCCCCAGTAATAATTTTTACCAGGTAGTCAGCTGTATGACTATTGGCGCCTGTGTTTATTGTTTTAATTAAATGAGTTAGTTTGTTAACATATTTGTGACGCAGACACAGACTATCAAGTCCTACCTGACGTTGTTCCAACCATCAATAGACAGATTAAAAACTTTGTTTTTCAACTCATCTTTTACGTGTTCTTGGGTTGAGTTGTAGACTGCGTCGAGTAGATTACCAGCAATTTGTTTGCGGTTTGAAGGTTAATGCTCTGGGCGTTAACTTTCCATTAATTTCAGAAAATGTGCGTGTTCTATGTGGTTGAAAGGCATGTTGGTAGCAAACATAAAACGAGATAATTGTAAATCAATTTTCTCTTTTCCTCGTGACTTGTGGTAATAGTAGTTTTTTTCATTAAAACGTTCACGCTCGCGCTGCTACTGCAGGCACTGACTTTTTTTTTATAGGATAGGGGGCAACCGAGCATGCAGCTCACCTGATGGTAAGTGATTACCGCCGCCCATGAACAACTGCAACATCAGGGGAACTAGGGGAATTGCAGATACGTTGCCGGCCTTTTAAAAAGGAGTAAGCTCTTTATTTGAAGGTCCCTAATTCGTATTGGTTCGGAAAAATCGTCATCGAAAGAAAGAAATTCACTAGATTAGTGAGTAGCTAGGGTCGTTGCGCCGGTAAGCCGACCGGGTCTAGTTTTGGCCTTTGGCACCAGGTGATGCAGTAAATTTTATTTAATAACGATTTTAATAAATATTATCGTACAAAATTAAGCTTAATGCATTTGTAAATACCTAGTTGCATTCTATATTGCTACATTACTTCATCGGGTAAACACAACACGCGATTTATAATAAATAGTTCAGTTTGACGCCGTTCTCGGGAGAGCCTGATCCCTAGAGAACGCGTCCCCAGGTGGCGAATTTGGGAAAGCTCGCTGGACGCCCCATTAGGGGTGTTTAGAGGGTTGGGGTGAAATAAAATAGCCCCCGCGGACCAACAGGCCGGAGATGGACACTCCGTATCAAACCCCTGCAGAGAGCTTCTTCGACATACTTGAAGGTGAGGTCTATGCAGTGCTGAGCGTTTAGGCTGGAATGCTCAGTAGGGATGGTGGCGGAAGAACCCATGAAAGGGTCAAAGGCAGCGCCCACACCTTGCGAGTAAGGTACAGTCTTGGCGTCAGGTGACAACCGGCCGAAAAACTACAGTCAAACACTCTTCTCCTCGTTAACATGAAAAAAGAGTGTTCATAGACCTGGAAAAGGCTTTCGACAGAATACCACGTAAATTAGTTTGGGAATCTATGAGAGCACAACAAATACCAGAACTCTATATTCACCTGGTGCATGATATGTATCAAAACATAAGCACACAGGTGAGAAGCCTGGCAGGACTTAGCGAACCGTTCCAAGTTAAGGTCGGAGTGCATCAGGGATCGGCACTAAGCCCATCCCTATTTAGCCTATCTCTGGATTATATAACTAAAGACATCCAGTCCCCCCTCCCATGGTGCATGCTATATGCGGACGATTTTGTGCTCATCGACAAATGTGCGATTCAACTGCAAGCGATACTCGAGCAATGGAGACAGGCTCTCGAGAACAATGGCCTCCATATCAGCAGGAGCAAGACCGAGTTTCTGAGATGCAGTTTTAGTGAACAATATACGCCTAACATAAGTGTCTCCATCGACGGCCAGCCACTGCCCTGCGTCAATAAATTTAAATACCTCGGCTCAGTGCTAACAGCGGATATCAACATTGACGCAGACGTCACTCATAGAATTAATGCAGCGTGGCTAAGGTGGAGAACCCTATCAGGAATACTTTGCGATAGCAGGATGCCAATACAACTGAAAGGCAAGATTTACAAAACTGCTGTAAGACCTGCCATGTTATATGGTGCCGAATGCTGGGCGGCCACGAAGATTCACGAAAAAAAGATGCACACGAATGAAATGAAAATGCTACGATGGTCAGCAGGCGTAACGAGACTTGATAAAGTGCGCAATGAGTACATCAGAGGTTCCTTTAAAGTTGCGCCCATTGTAGATAAGATGGTCGAGAGTCGTATGCGATGGTATGGGCATGTAATGAGGCGGGAAGAAGAACACCCAGTGAGGAAGGCCTTGGCAATTCCAGAGAAAAAGAAAGGCAGGGGACGCCCATTAGCCACGTGGTGGACAACCGTATCCAAGGATCTGGAACGAGCACAGCTTGAAATACAGACAACCCAAGATAGGAAATCTTGGCGCATAAAAACGAGGAGAGCCGACCCCAAATAAAGGGACAAAGCAAGGAAGAAGAAGAAGAAGAAGTTCAGTTTGACGCCGGCATAGGAGCTGTCAAAGTAAGATCGTGCAAAAAAAATAGTGGCACGCGTTTCATTAAAAAGTAAATTTTGCGCTGTATTTACAATGATTATTTAATATTGTGCTTATATTTCACTGTATAAATAACTGAATTTTAAATTTTCACATAGATTACTATTATTTTATTGTAAAAGTTAATAAATTAAGTGGCCGGAAAGTGACACATAAAATTTTCCTATTATTTGGTTATCGGCCATGTGGCCGGAAAGTAGCCCGAGTTTAGCCTAAATACTTTATCTCTTTCAATTATTTGGTCATCTACTATTAGTCTTCTTTCTTATTTATAATGAATTGTATCCTTGCGATGACGCTAGTTTTCAGTTTTCGGCCACCAAATACTGCAATTTAAATGTTTATTGATGAAACTAAAATACCCATTTTAGTTGTGGCCAAATACTAGATTGAGTCTAAAATTATTATTTAGTTTTCGACCAACTTAAAATTATATGAAAGAATAGGGGGGCCGAAAATTGAATATTGAATTGGTTGACGGACATTTCATGAAATATTTCATTCACGTTGCGTTTTAGGAAGAAGATTCAATAACACATTATTTTCTTCAGATGGCTCCTCCAAAGAAAAATCCTCCAAAGAAATATAATTAGTAAATGGTTTCAGAAAATGTGAACTTAATGAATTTGATCACCATGTAGTGGATTAATCAAAATGTGTCCGGAATACCCCGGAAAGACCAATTAATGAAAATTCAGACACTACAAAAAATATATTTCTAAAGAAATAAATAACGCAGACCTAGTTTCCACAAAAAGAGTTTTGAAACATTTAAAATCAAATCTGGCAGAAAAAAAAAACACGGTTGGCGATGTTCTAGTAACTATGGATTCATCTACCTATGCATAAGAATCGTTTATCGATAACAATATTTCAACATTGCATTTGTCAGGAAGTTATTTGGATATTGCTTCCTTAGTATCGTTAGATGATGTTCTTGTAATCTCAACTCAAATAAGCCAGTACAACAGTACTGACAATGCCGGAAATGGTAAAAGATTCCAGTAATGCAATAATAACGACTCAAAGTAGTACAATGGCCACGATGATACTACCACCACTAACACCGATGATAACAAACAACGCCTTTGAAACTTTAGAAAATGTGCTGGTTGATATTATTCCAATAAAACAGACTAGTACACCTCTACAAACTAGTGAAACATCGGCTTCGGTACTATTAAATAAGGAATACAGAGATGCGATAGAAAAAAACTTTTATTTAAACCGGAACTCGTAAAAAAATCAACCATTAACAGTACACGTACACCTTCTTCTGTAGCAATTTGATATGCAGAGTGGCGAAAACTTTATAAAGATAAAGAGAAAGTTAAAATAGAGAAGTTAGAACTAAGTTAAAAAAAGATAAGATATTTTGAAAAAGAAAAGAATATAAAAAGAAAATATAATTAATAGAATCAGACGTTACTTTGCGGAAATCCATTATATAAAAGCTTTTAGAAAAATTTACTTCGCAAATATCCGCGTTATAAAATAAAATGATGTGTCTTACCTAGTATGAAGAGCTCTTAGCGGTTATTCACCGTAGAGTCTATATCACCTGAGGATGCCTCGTGTAGAGGCGAAACACGTGTCGTATTATCGTCAGTTGTGTGTCTTGCCTAGTGTAGTGGTGTTGGGAGTAGCGGTGCTGGGATTAGTGGTGACGGGGATAGTGCACGCAATTGTGGGAGGGCGGGAGGTGCTCTTCATACTAGGTAAGACACATCATTTTATTTTATAACGCGGATATTTGCGAAGTAAATTTTTCTAAAAACTTTTATAAAAAGAAAAGTTAAAAAGTACTAAAGTTCAAAAACGAAAAATCGCAAAATCCAAGAATTCCATGAAGGAAAATGAAAGAGTAAAAGTAAATTGCACCTGGTGTTATGATATTTTAATAAGCGATACAGAAGAAGATATGGAAAAAAATTGGATATGACTTATGCACCAAATGGATTTGAGATGTATAGATTTTGAAGGACTAAAATATGAGACAGCGTTCGGGAAATTACAGCACATCTTCTCGTCACTTATACCTCAAAACGAGACTGTACAACCAGTGCGTGTTGCCAGTGATGACCTATGGAACTGAGACGTGGTCCTTCACTGCTGGCCAGATGAGGAAGCTCAAGGTCGCTCAGCGAGCTATGGAGAGGGCTATGCTCGGAGTTTCTCTGCGTGATAAACTTAGAAATGAGGATATCCGTAGTAGATCCAGAGTGACCGACATAGCAACGGGTTAGTAAGCTGAAGTGGCAATGGGCTGGCTATATAGCTCGAAGAATCGACAACCAATGTGGAAAAAGTTTCTCGAATGGCGGCCTTGTAACGGCAGACGAAGTGTAGGGCGTCCCCCCACTAGATGGAGTGACGACTTGGTAAGACATGCGGGAAGTCGATGGACGCAGGTGGCTCAGGACCGTGTTTTGTGGCATTCCTTGGGGGAGGCCTACGTTCAGCAGTAGACTTGTGAAGGGATGTAATGAAACGGCTGATGATGATGAAAATATGAGGAAATAAAAAAAAAAATGAGAAGATTTGATTGCCATATTTAACGACACGAAATTTTATTATAATTTTACAAAAATTATATTAAGTTAAGGTTAAGGCACCTTTTCTATCGTGTCTAATGCAGTGGCCGAAAACTAAAACTCTTGTGGGCCGAAATTTGAAATTTGGGGCCGAAAACTAGCATTTTACATATTTTTCACATCAAAAATTATTATAAAAAAGAGATTTTTCTAGTAGCACCAATGAGTTACAAAAATGAAAACTACATTATGTAAGCTACAAATTAACATTAACAGCACTAGGCCAGCATAATGGCAATTATTTTTTCTAGTACCTTAAAGTTAACAACTCCACGAAAAGGCCGAAAACCAGTGCAACGACCCTTTTTTTATAGGATAAGGGTGAAAAACGAGCACACAGTCCACCTGATGGTAAGTGGTTGCTGCGGCCCATAGATATCTACATCCATCCTCGTTTGCGAATCAAAATGCAGATGCGTTGTCACTCGTGAAGACTAAGATGGAATGCCTCATTCCCAGTAAAAAGAGCCTCCGGCCACCTGCACTCACCAAGCGAAACGCAGAGGTAAACCTCTACCTCAAGCTGGTATTCTGTGAGGTCGTGGTACCACCCCGGTTTGAGCCGGCCCATCCGTGCGACAGCAAAAGGTGCCGCGTGGCTCTACCACTGTTAATTCTTTCTTTTATTTCAATATAGGGGATTCCCCTACTAAGAATGAACATGCTCTATGTAAAGCGTTCAGTATTTATTATAGACACGCAACAAAAAAACAAGTGTACATATTATATCGATTGAACGATTTTCGTAAAAGATTACTAAGTAAAGCGAATTTGAAAATTTTCTAGAAATTAATTGATTAGGTCTAATTGATTTTAAGTTAATAGAAAAAAAAAGTAAAAAAAGCATGAAAAAAACACTATTTCGAACTGTTTGTTTTATAAAATAAAAAATAAAAACTGTTTTTTTTTCCAACCCTGTGTTGTAAATCCATGCAGCGGCTATACCTATTAATGTTGTGGCACGAATGGATCGGCTCGACCAAGGAAGGACCATGGTCTCACAGAATACCAGCGTAAATTAAAAAAAAAGTAACCCCCACACAATGATGTTCTCCTGTATGGTGAAGACAGTTTACATAGATAAATTCAGTGGCGTAGCTACCCAGGGGCTAGGCAGGGCAGTGCCCCGGGGCCTCCAAGCTAAAGAGGCCCCTCGGCCTCCAAGAATGAAATTCGAAAAATTGTGTACTATCCTAGTTATACAAAGAATTTTCGAGTTTTAATTTTTTGGCCCCTAACCGCAAACGGCTCGAATTGAAATCACAAAAATTACTCCCACTTCCAGAACATCAATAGAACATTGTTAAACATAATTGTCTACTTCGTCTTATTGTCTTTTTTATATAGAAGAGAGGGACAAACGAGCATGCGGTTCACGTGATGGTTAGTGTCGACCACCGTCTATTAACAAATACACAAAATAAAACACCAGGGGAATTTCCGGCTTTTTAAAAAGGAACTCATTTCTTGAAGCTTCTTAATTCGTATTGGTCCAACAGTAGTGGACCGCCAAACATCTTTATGATGTAGATTTGCGAAATGCGTTGATGAAATTTTGTGGTTGGAATTAATGCAAACAATTCCTCTGAACACTCCTTTCTTTCTTTTTTTTCTTTATAAAACACTCCTCGTGGTAAATGCGATAGAAAATGCAAAGGGCAGCAACATCTCTTCGTCTCGTCTTTCGTCTTCGTCGGTCGTCGACTATTCGAGCCGCTCTGCGCTGTATGCAGTTAAGTGGAAGGAGCTGGTCCTAGGGAGCCCCGGCCCAGGTTGCAAGCAGTGTACTGGCATAAAATACTGTCCCGTTCTGCTAAGCACGCCCAGCTTTTTAGAGGCCAATTCAGCCTTCCCTTTCAAGTGAGCACGAAACTGCACGTTATTCGATATGTCAACGCCGAAGATTCCGGTACTGGCTGAGGTAATAAGGGGAGTGCCCGGAAATTGAGGAGTTACGACAAAGGGATTCTTTTTAGTCCGAGTTACTCCGAGACCTTATCCGGCAAAGACTCGACTTGAGACGCAAGTTTGTTCCGGTACTTGGTGACGTTTTCCCAAGAAATATAGGCACATCCAGTGTATAAAGCATCACTAGGGCACGTTATTGGTTTGCTACATTAATATGTTTTATTATTGATAAGCAGAAGAAACAACTTGTAAATGGATCATGCAGCTTCTACTACGCCTTTGTTGCTCCAATCTGCAAGAAAACTGCTGATCCAGCTGCACAAATTCTCGGGAAGCCCATAAGAAGAAAGCTTCGAAAGATGCGCTTTGTGTCAAACCCGATCGAAGGCCTTCGCTATG